GTGAGGTCTTAGTTCTCAGACCAGAGATCAGATTCCTGCCCCCTCAATTGGAAATGTGGAATCTTAACCACTGGACTGCCAGAGAAGTCCCTGGTGTGGTAATTCTATGTTTCACATTTTGAGGAACTGCCAAAATCTTTTCCAATGTGGCTCTACCATCTTATATTTCCACCAGCAATGTATAAGGGCTATAATTTCTACACATCACGACTTGTATCTTAATTATTATTCACATATATATCTCTTCCAATAGACTGAAGAATGGGCTCTATTATGAGTTGATTTTCATTCATCGTTATATAATCAGCATTCTCTAAAATTACGTAAAAATTTGAGGAGAGAGGAAAGATTGAGTTTGTATATACATTAATAATTAATTTAAGATTTTTTTGTTTTCCATAAACTAATTTTTTTCTGACATTCTTAACAGGTGGGTTTTAATGTGCTTTTTAGCCAGATTGCCACACTTATTACTACTGGTACTTAACATCTTAAAATAATAACTTTGTCAATATTTTCTCAGGATTATGACCAAAGTGCCATGAGAATGTGAAGTAGCAATGTCATTTCTGGACTTTTTTCTTAAAGTAAGTCATATTCAAATGATTATGTCCTTAGCAGTGATTTCATGAAGGGAAAGGCAAATTTATGTTCAGCAATGGTTGTGAGCAAGAAACAAAGGAGAATTTAGAAAATAGTCTAAGCTCAAAATCATTTAAACTAAAAACGAAGCTATAAAATGATTTTTTTCTCAAATAAAAGCTATTAAACAATATACTTTTGCACAATGTACATTGAACTTACCCACGGCCTTGTCTGTTTTACAAAACAATTTCAAAATTTACATAGATGATACGAATTACACAGAAGTTCAGAGGGATGACTCTATAATACGTACAGTTCCACACTGCAATCTTCATCTCACAAGAAGGCATGGGTCACTTAGAAACTCTTCTGTCTAGGACCAAGACATCCATCAATGAACCATCAGCATTTATTGATCACATCCCAGAGCATCAGTGTTCTCTTATAGGCATCTTTGGATTAATGACTAAAACAAAATATTAGTGCAGCAAAAAAAGAGGCTCAGAAATTGTTCTGACTACAAATTTGGATTTAAAAATATTTCAAATGCTTTAACATTATAATGACAGGATATTTGGCTGTACTACATGTGTATCTATGAGTCTCCATATTGTTTCACAATAAATTCTTCTAATTTGTGTCACTGATTTTTTGACTTTTAACTCTTACAGGTTTAATATTTTCCCAGACCATCAGCTATATAAGGGCATGCTCTTGATAGTAAATCTTCAATGTAATCATACGGATTCCAGCACAGGTATGTTAGATTTTTAGAACCAATTTTTCTTGGTGGTCTGACTTGAAAGATATTACATATAGAAAGAGAATCAATTATCCTTACAAAGATAAAAAAGAGATTCTAGGTTAGCAAATCCACATTTCCTCACATGTATTAACAGTAAAATAAACCCTAATTCTGACATTCCCTTATATTTTTATGTAACTTTTTTATGAATAGAGATATTAAAATGGATCATATAACTCTTTATCACTGGGTTTTATTAATGAAAAACAAAAATCTTTCCAGTGGCAAGACCAAGGAAAGGTATATAGTTTACAAAACACAATTTTTACATATAGTTTTTCTCTTAATACAATAATGAATTCAGAGGGGTCCATTCTATTCAAAATGCCTACTGTGAACTGTAACTTAATTTTTCTAGTTTGCTACCCAAAGTTCTGGCTTATAGCAGATCTGACACTTTAAAAATAGGAAGAAAAATAAAGTGTCATAGGAAAGTACTCTTGAAACATAGTTTAATTAAAATCCTTTCAAATGATCATTTCCTTCAGTTATATTATGGTTTTGAATCATATAATAATTTATCACATTTTTTAACAGCAAAAAGAAGATTAGCCAGGAAAAGTACTTTAAGACTCATGCAACTCAGATTTTTATTTTCATGGCAAGAAAATACTGTCCATATTTTTAAGGTCTTATTTTCAATGAAAACTCAAAATCAAATTGTGCAACAGCATTAAACACAATAAGAACATAAATTATAAAGAATAATTCCTGTTGTTTTGTATTACATTGTTTGATAGGGGACCTGCCTATGAGGGAGCTAGGTTATGAACTTTTATTGCTACTTTCTAATTTGTGTCATTGATTTTTTGACTTTTAACTCTTACCGGTTTAATATTTCCCCAGACCATCAGCTATATAAGGGCATGCTCTTGATAGTAAATCTTCAATGTAATCATACGGATTCCAGCACAGGTATGTTAGATTTTTAGAACCAATTTTTCTTGGTGGTCTGACTGCTATGTTTCATTAGTTTACAGTGTCGGTAGAGTTAGTGTGTCTCAATCTACAAATTGATTAAAGAGAAACAGATAATGATTCTAATTACTAGAAATTTAACTTTGAGTCTGTTGTCACATGGAGAAGCCATTTTACTTCACTGTAATACTGTGCATTTGCCATTATTGTGGGGTTATTTTGTGCATATTCTCTACACTTACATAAGATGGCTATTATATGTAAAATTTCAGGAAGATTAATACAGGTCTAAAAATTCAAGTGTATAATAAGTACTGTCTGGTAAACTACTTCTAAGTAAAATTAGTCTTGAGCTTGGTTTGCAGTTGTTCACCCTTTCCTACGTAATCTTTTCCTTTACAACAAAAACATGAGCATTTCACTTGTTCATCTGTTCACCAATTGGATATTCATGCATACCTACTGTTGCACCGAGCATGATTCTGGGCATTGGAAACAGCGTGGTGAATCAGATAGGTAAGTCCCCAGCTCTCAGGGAGCTCACAGGCTAATGGGAGAGACAGCCAGCCAGTTAATTAACAAAAGAACAATAAAGTAACAATCAAAGTGCTAGAAAAATCAAACAAGGTAATATGGAACAGGGAGTTTGGCGTATTTCATGAAATGGGATAGTTAAGAATGACCATTCTCAGTAGATGGTATCAGAGCTGAACCCTCCATAATGAGAAGCAAGAAAGAAGGCAAAGATCTTAGAATGTTTCCTTCCTGGCAGAGGAAACAGCAAAGTAAAGGGTCTGTGCCTGTGATCTACCATCATTTGCATTCATTTAGCTAAGGTTCTTTGCATAAACATTTTACTCATGCTAATAGAGCATAATTGTGTCTGTAATTATTAATTTAACTCAGAGGATTGTGTAATTTGGAGAAAAGATTGATTGATGATCTTTACCTTTACATGCAAGGATAGCATACTGTGTTTTACTGGTCCAAATAGCAGTTAGGGTAGAACTTCCCTGAATTTTCAGACTAGATCCTCCCTTGAGATTTGGGGTGCTGAGAGTCATTATATCAAAAGTAGTAGGGGAAAATGGCTTTGGGAGACGAGAGAAGAAACCTGTATCTAGGGTGAAACAGTTCACCAGCCCAGGTTGGGTGCATGAGACAAGTGCTCGGGCCTGGTGCACTGGGAAGACCCAGAGGGATTGGGTGGAGAGGGAGGTGGGAGGGGGGATCGGGATGGGGAATACATGTAAAAAAAAAAAAAAAAAGAACTATTTTCAACAATGGAAAAAAAAAATAAACATATTGTAAACAGTTTAAAAAAAAAATAAAATATATATATATTTAAAAAAAAAAAAAAGAAGAAACCAGAAGAAATGTTAGCTTCTGGTCTAAAACAGCAACAGAACTCTGTCATGTTTCCGGTTTTGTTTTGTAAGGAGTTTATTTTCTGAACTGTCATCGTTATCATGCTGAACTGTCATGTTCATTTCTGTCCTTAAGAGGTGTGCCGATGCATGAATGAATTCTTTAAAAGTAGAAATTTCTGACTATTGTTCCAAGGATTTTCAAATTAGCCTCTGCTCTTGGTCACAGTACAATAAACAATGTGATTATAAAGCTACCTTTTATAAAGTTTCACACACATTATGTGTAATATATACACACATAACACACAGGCATAGATATATGTATATTTATATCAGAATTACTGAAATCATCTAACACCACTGATTAAAACAGAAAAACAAAATTAAAATGATACACCCCAAAGAAGTCAAACCCATCAGGTGTCTGATTAGCCATACCCAGACGCTTGCACTCAAAACACGCAATCACACACAACCAGTCTCCTCTCTGAAAAAGGAAAGGCTGGTGAGATCAAAGAGCTTGGCTGAGCTCACATGGAATCATAGTGGTTGGTGTGAGAACAGAACCTAAGACTCTGGACAGTGAATTCAGTTCAGAGCTCCCTCCCAGGGAAACAGGCCAGTTTGGAAGACATCTGCGCAAGACAATGGCCTTATTCTTTCTTTACTTTCCTAATTTGATGATTTCTTTCTTGCCATGATAGTTAAGTAGGATACTTTGGCAGGCACTTAAAAAGAGGGGTGCCAGCTAAAAATGCGGGAGTCAGTGGGTGATTCTGCTGCAGGATTGAGGAAGAAGTAAGTATTGATCATGTTTAGAGGCAGAAAGGGCCGTGGCTTCAGGAGTGTTCAGTGTTGCTGAGTTGCTGATAACCCTGACCTCCGTGTTTCTCTGTTGGAAAATAATTACAGGGCTGAATTGCCCTTAACCATGATCAAAGGGGGAAAAAAAGATTGTGTTTGAAGCACTGCATTTTTTTTTTTTTGCTTTATTTAAAAAATTTTCCTTATCAGTACAGCTTTTTTTTTAACATCATGGTTGTGAAAACTGTTCCATAATGTCAGGCTACTCTGTGTTTTCTTATCTTGAAAAATAGTAACGAATAATAACTATTTTTTTTCCAGTTTCTTATCACCCTAGTACAACCAATTATACCTAATCACAAACCACTGTTTTTAATACATATTTTTGAATAGTGTTAGTCTTAAGCTAGATATTTGTTCTATAGCTACAGCTGTAGGGACTGTTTTTGAATATTCTCTGAAACATTTTTTACATGTCAGATAAGACTAGCCAACATCATTGTTCTACCAAATCTTCCTTATTCCTGACAAAATTCCTTTGTCAGCCTCCTGAACTTCAATATCTGTGTGTGTGTGTGCTCACATGCATGCGTGTGCTCAGTCATGTCCGACTCTTTGCGGCCCCATGGGCTCCTCTGTCCATGAGGATTCTCCAGACCAGAATACTGGAGTGGGTAGCCAGGCCCTCCTCCAGGGGATCTTCCCGACCCAGGGATCAAGCCCAGGTCTCCCGCATTGCAGGCGGATTCTTTACTGTCTGGGCCTCCAGGGAAGCCCTCCAGGGGGTAGTAACTGGCAAATTCTAAGAGGTATAAAAATATATGTGTGCTGTGTATGAAGGACCTGAGAGGATTACACATGCATTTTCAAATCTCACAGCCTCTAAAGTATTTCTTTGTTACAGGATTCCGTACTCTAGGTGATTATTTATTAATCAGTATGAACTCCTGGAGAAAGGGGCTGTGGGTTATTCATCTTTCAATGCCCAATAGATCACCCAGATCCTGGCCCAAGGGCAGATTTTAATAAATGTTTATGTGATTCAGAATCATGCATGTTCTATCATCTTATGGAACAAGTTTCATCAACCAAAGTATGTATATCTTTGTAAGTGAAGTATCTCACAAAATCGGTTATCTGATGCACAATTTCATGTGTATATTCCTCTTTTTTAGCTGAGCTGTTGCACGTGCCAAGCACTAAAATCGGTTAAGTGATACTAGATAATGATTTTCTCAATGCTTCAGTTATACAGTCTCCAATACGTGCACCTTTATCTACAACAACATTCGTGGGTCTTACAGTAATTGGCAAAAGACCAGAAATATGCTTTCCATCACTCTGAGTGTCTTCTAGATCTCACCTTGTGAGTGACTTCTTGAACCTGGATCTTCCTCTGCCTTTTCCCCACCAGCCATAGCTCTCTCTGTTTCATCTAGACTAATTTTACAAAAAACAAAACAAAACCTCAGAATCAATTGGCAAGTGAGTACAAGTCATTAGCTTCTTGCTGGGTTAATTAGAAGTCATTAACTTCAAGGGTTAAGACACTGAGTATCTGTGCCTTGAGTTTCTGAACTTAATTTGAAACTATACATGAAAGAGAACATCTAAATATCTTTATGAAAATATATTTAAAATGAAATACAAGCTTACATCCTGAAAACCCCAGTGGAGTTCCAAAATAAACACACATACAAAACTAAAAACTCAATTTTGAAAAATGTGACCTCCTATTGAGTTGGATGCTAGCCAAAATGACTGTTGGATCGATTCCTGTTAACCAAGGTAGTTTTCCCAGAGGCAACCAGGTACTAAAGTTCCAGCTCCTCTGTCTTAGAAATGTATTGGCTACTATAGAGCACTTGTGTTATCCAGCATTACCTGCAGAACACACACATACTCACACAAATACCCATACATACCTAATTTCTTGATAACATGAAAATAAAAGGCAGAATAGAGCTAAAGATGGAAAGACAAGCTTTAGAAAGTATTTGCCTCCTTCACAGTACTTAAGTCTATACCTGGCATTTGATAATTTATATATTTATTCCTAGCATAGTTAAGCTAACTTTGTTCGGCATTCACTGGGCATTTAAATTACTATATTTAATAGTTCTGTTACAGTATACTAAGTCTGCATAATAAGAAACTTATTCAAAGTAGTTTGTATGAAAATTTGATAAATTTTAAACTGTAATGATTTCAGATGTTAAAAGCATGTTATAATAATTTACAATTTTGGTTCAAAGCTTACCTGCACTTAGAATTTTGAATCTCACTCTCATTCAATATCTGCACCTATCTCCAAAAATGTGTATGTATTAAACACATGCTGTCTTCTCATTAGTTGAAAATATATTATCAATTAATTAAAATGATAAACTAGAGAATTGGACAATCTTGGCTTTGAAGACGATCTCCACCAAGCATTGGATTTTCTATAATCTTGCCATGATTTCAGTTTATTTTCTTTCCAGTCTTTATAATTTTATTTTCTTCATTAAGTGAACTGGGTAACGCCTCTGGTACTATGGTAACTGGTACTGCTCTTAATGAGCATCTTAGTCTTACTCCCAAATTCATGGAGAACGCGTTTAAGCTTTCTCCAATAAATATGATGTTAAGCATAGTTTTTTGTAGATGTCCTTTTTCAGACTGAGGAAGATAACTAAAAGAGTAACTAGAATAGAAGGCACCAGAGTATATTGCTATTGGTGTGGTACCTAAATAAGTATAAATACACACACACACAATGTGAGTTTTGGGCTTGACAGCTGTTTGAAAGCTGTTGCCCTAGAAACACCCAATTCAAAACAATTCTCTTTATAACCTTGCTGTTATTGCTCTTTCTTGCCAATTCATCATTGTACCTACACCTTCTGTTCTACCAAACTGCATGTTTAATAGGCTGCTTCTTGTATCAAAGCGCAGTATGCTTGTATACAAACATACAAACCACAGAATAGGGCTCAAAGACTGTTCGTGTGAAACGCTTCTGTACCCTTTATTCAGGTCAAAAGTATCAGAACCTTAGATGTTTCCTTCATGCTTTCCCCCAGTCTCTGATTCTCTTCCCAAATAACCACTACTCTCCTGACCGCTAACATCATGGATTACTTTTGCCTGTTTCGATCTACATATAAATTAATATGAATAAATGCTCTTTATTCTCAATTTTCTCTGTCATCTTTGCTCAATATTATGTTTATGAGATTTATCCATGTTATAGTGAATGGCATGATTTTGCTCATTTTCTTTGTTGGATGGTATTCTTTTGTATAACTCTTTGAAAATCTAATTATCTATTAGACGACTGATGTGCATCTGGTTGATTTTTGGCTATTACAAATAATATAAATAAATACTCTTTTTGAAGATTGTTTGATGTGGATCATTTTTAAAGTCTTGTTACAATGTTGCTTCTGTTTTATGTTTTAGTTTTTCTGCTATGAGGCAAGCACCCCTACCAGGGATTGAACCTGCACCCCTAGCATTGGAAGATGAAATTGTAACCATTGGACCGCAGGCAAGTCAAGTCCAACTATATATATTCTTGTACATACCTTTTAATAAACATACTCTTTTAAGGCATATATTAGAAATGGAATTTCTGAGTTTTATGTGTTTCACTAATATTTGCTGTCTATTTATTTGTTCCTTTGTATCTTATCCCTCTGAGTTCTCCCACCCAACTCCCATCCTCTCTCTGAAAGCAGCGTTGCTTCGTGGCTTTCAGGCACTTCCATGCCATTTAGCTCTGGATCACTCAGGCTAGGAGAAGTGAGGCAGAGCCACCCAGCTCATTCTTGCAAGCAGCCACTCAGCCTCTCTTATTACTTCTGTTTATTTTGTATGGAGGAGGTTGTTTGCTGCTTTAGTTTTTTTAAGACTGGAGCATTGTGGGTTGTGATTAGTGTTGTAGATGGTTTCCACAACACTAATTTACTCTATCAAAAATATGGGAGATATTGTTGCTACATAACCTTGACAACACCCACTACTGCAGTTTCTTATATTAAATTTAAATACATTATATTTATTCTGGTAAGTGTTAAGTCCTATCTCTATCCTTAACTGTGGCAAAAACAAAGCAAAAACCAAAGACAATTTTTACTCTGTGGCTTCACTTTTATTGGCGATGAACAGAATAGTGTAATTCTAAAATATCTTCCTGTCTATTTAATGCATTTCATGTTTAGTTTAAGTAGTCTTTGCCTAAACCAAGATAATTCAAATATGCTCCTATGTTTACTTCAAGAAATCTTATTATCTTACAGTTAACATTTAGATCTATAATTTACCCAAGTTGCTACTTGCAAATAATGTGAATTAGGTATAGAGATTTTATATATATTATATATATTTCCAATTTCCCCTATATCAGTTTTCAAAAGGTCTGTACATTTCCTCTGAGATGAAGTGCCATCTCTGTCGTAAATTTAATTCCATCTACATGTGTCTATCCTGGACTCTTATGTTCCATTTGTGTATTTTTTTTCTCCTTGCATTGTCATATTGTTTTAATTGCTATAACTTCATGTCTTGAAATACAGAGGTAAGGTTGTTAGCTTTGGTTTTCTCCTTAAAGATTGCTTGGCTGACATTGTTTCAGCCATGACTGAGTAGCTTATAAGGTTAACCCTCCTGTTGATAAGGATATGAAACCTTGAGAAAATATAAAAAACAACTCTTTGAATATATCAGAGAACAAGGACACAGAAAGTACTTGAGAAAAAGAAATCAGGAATTACCTTGGTTTATTCCCTCAGGGCAACAGGCGAAGCAGACAGTAAGACCTTCACGGTACTCTGAAGACCAGGGTGTAGGTAACCAGAATTATCAAAATTTGAGGGGCAGAGACAGAGAATGCCATGACAGTGAGTCCCTGAATTTGAACACAAATTTATCTTAAATCTTTTATATTTACCCATATATTTATCATTTCATGTATTTGCTATTCTTTCCTTCCTAGTTTGGGTGTTATTTCTCTTTATTCTGAAAAATCCCTTTACTATTTCTTACAGTGAAGATTCACTAGCTGTAAGTTCTCTCTGGTTTTGTTTATCTGAATCTATTTAACTCATATTTGAAGGATACTTCTGCTAGAAAAAAGAGTATTATAATTCTTGCTGTTAGGGTTTTTTTTTTCTTAAAACCCTTTAAAAATGCCATTTCATTGTCTTCCAGGCTTTATTGTTTTTGTAATTATTCTCAATTAAATAGTTTTTCCTCTGTATAAAAATTGTCTTTTCTTCTGACTACTTTTAAGATACTTTATTTTTGATATGCAGCAGCTTGATTAGATGCGCCTAGTTGTGGTTGTCTTTGCAGTAATCTTGTGGGTTTGCTGAAATTCTTGGATCTGGATTGATGGTTTTTAACAAATATGAAGAAATACTCTCTCTGGCATAAAACATACATGAAATGTTATACTGCTTAATGTCATTCCATAAGTAACTGCATTTAAAAAAAAATTCTCTGTTCTTCAGATTGGATAACTTCTAATTTTTTATCTTTAATTTCATTGTCCTTTCTTCTGTAGTTGTCAATCTGCTGTCAAGTTCATCTGATGAACTTTTATTTCAGATTGCATACTTTTTAATTCTAGACTTTTTCCATTTGATTCTTTATAATAGATTTAATTGTTATGCTAAGACTCCTCATATATTTACTTATTAGGTCACCTTTTCCTTTAAATTCTTAAAGATATTTATTATAGTTTAAAAATTTTTGTCTGGTAATTTCATCATTTCATATTAAATATTACCTGTCTATGAAAGGACAGCCTACTATTTATATTCATTTTATGCATTTATACCATACTTAACTTTTTCTTAAATTTTTTGATATTTCT